CTTTGGCCCTGAAAGTCCTGACTCCTTTAAAATTCTGAAAATAGGACATTTACACATCTGTGCCTCCGAATGATACACTCACTTTACTACTCTCAACTATCCAAAGGCTCTGTTTAATGACTTTGCCATTCCCTTTTTCTTCCTCTTATGCGAGGGACTCCCTCCTATATCACTAGGGTGACTATTGCCATATTGCCAGAAAAAGCAAATTTTAATCACCAAAAAGGGGATGAAAGATGCCATGGATTTGCATGAAATTTGCTTGTCCAGCTGCACTAGTCTATAATTCTATGTGTTACAGTAGATAGATGAGAACTGAAGGATAATTTCTTTAACCTAGGCAGGAAGGCAATACATCTTGCCATTTCAGGGAAGACGGTGGCCAGGTGACTTGCATAGCTGCTCGGTCAGCTGTCCAGGTGAAATGCAGCTCCTGCGGCAAAGCCCTGCTGGATCTCCCTTCTTAGGGTTTTTTTTTTTTTAATCTTTAAACCGGGCTTAGATTGGACACCCCTTTAAATCAGGAACCCCCTCAACTACTGGCCTGTCCTCTGCAAACTAGGACACAAGCTCACCCTATGTAACCTCTGTGTGCTTCTTTTTCTCACCTTTCCACTCCACCTCAATACAATCACTTCTTTTTCTGTGAAGCTTTGGCACAATTCCTTAATCTTCACCTGCATGGAAACGAAGCTCAAATCCATGTTCTAATCCTCATTTCAGTTGCTGGTCCAGCATAAGACACAAGTACTACAAATCAGCAAGGTTCAAAGCAGGAAGACTACAACTCCTAGGTCTGAGGAGGCCATGGGTAAAGTGCCCCCGTCTCTGGGGTGGCTTGGTAGGTCGAGCTGGCAGTCGTAGTGGTGGAAACTACATTGCTCTGAGCAGTTCTTGGCAGTACACTTTTGCCCCTATTTTAATTCCCCACATTTCCCTAATGTAACTCCCTTTCAGTGCATTGTGGGAAGTTAAAATAGTGATTGTGAGCCACCCAGCACTGAGCAAGAACACATAATGGGCAGGAGCTGGGCTTAAATAGGGCCATGCTTGTCCTGCAGCATTCATTCCCCATTGGCCCTATGAATGTGAATATGGATGGGGACCAGCTGAAGAACCCTGCATATGTAGGGACGTGGCATCCACAGAAAGTTTTTCATACTTCTTGAATAAATCCAATAAATAAATATTCTTTCACGAGTATATCGATTTTCATCTGGCAAATATTGGAAGTATTTTGAAAATCTTATATGCGATGTGATCAGTATTGCAGTCCAATGAAACAGCCTAGGGACACAAACTTTCAATTAGCTACATTGGTTTCCCCATTTCTATAGTAACACAGGACAACTGGCCAATTCCAAATGCAAAGGAATTTTATGCTTGTCCTTGTGTCAACTCTTCTCTTACACAACTGACCGGAGGAAGAAAGTCCAACTGTTAAACACCATGGAAAAAAATTGAGGCTAACATCATGATTTAATTAAGCAAGTAACAAAACTGTATGCAAGATATAGAATGTATTTGTGTCATATAGTGTAATTGAAAAGAGCTGCAATAAAACACTGTTATAAAAGGCCTTAGAAAAGGGAATGACGCAGGTTAGCCCTTGCCAATCTGGTGTCCTCCAGAGGAACTGGGCTACAATTCTCACCATCCCCAGCCAGCATGGCTAATGGGCCTGCTGGCCGGGATGATGGCTTAACACAAGCCCATGCACATTTACTTGGTAGTAAGCAATGCTGAAAGTTGGGGGATGTACCAGTGGATGGCCACATACAGAACTGCATTATTAGTATATCTGCCCCATCTTCCTTCATTACCCCTTTCTGACCCTCTTTATGTTGCTTTCCCACCAATGGTTTAGAGTGTTGGGAGAAACCACCTTTATAGGTTGTCTGTGTAATTCTGTAATGCACTGTGCAAATTGTTGGTGTGGTGTAAATAAATGTTCTGCATCCCATTAATCTGAATGTATTTAACTCTTCCACTGAACTAAGGGGATTGTGCCCCAGGGCTGCTCCCCTCCAGGAAGAGTGGTTCCGAGATGAAAGCCAGCACCTGCCATTTCCAGGGGCACATGCTTCAGTGCCCATGTGGGAATGTGGGGAGGAGGAGGTACTGCTCTCACTGGAGTCCTCCTGGAAGAGCACTGATTTCCATCTGCACATGGAATCTATCTGGCCCTTCCTCATTTCTGGCAGCTCATTAAGTGACACCTGGTGTAAGAAACCAAGGATCCGATCCAGCAGCCGTGGTTCTGCTTGGAAAGAGGGAGTGGAATCTCTTTGCGGTGGAGACGAGGCCTGCTTCCTGTGCTGCTTTCCCTGGAGCTGCTGTGAAATCCAATGAGGCAGAAGCAAGTCCCTCTGGGGGACACTTAGTCAGTGAACAGCCTTGATAAAATTTTAAGTATGGGCCATTGGCTGTTCTCTCATTTGTGGTTTTGGCCTCCTTTCTGCCTTGGTATTTTCAGAAAATTGCAGCAGCCTCTTTTGACTCCCTGAGCTCAGCATGGCAAAAATGGTTCCAGGCTCTGCCTTGATTTCCAGCTAACCGTCCTTGGGACTCAGCTGTGCAAGGTACATGGAATGCCATTTCCTCATTTTGTTACATGGTCCTTAGTTCTCAGGATGGTGAGGTATTTGTTTTGGATGAGAGAAGAGTGCAGGCTTGTGGGGGTCTCTGTAATATTTGTTTTGGGTAGAAACATGTGCAAGGTAGATCCCAGAGAGCAGTTTGTGCAGCCGATTCCAAGATGCACCATCTGTTTCAGCCAACTCTGCTTAGAAACACCTCTCCCTCCCTGACTCACATATACACACAAGCCCCCCTGCAGGTGTGTTATCTTCTCCAAGTACTGATAGCCTTCTCCTGGAAAATCAAGTGCCAGGAGTCCATCAGCCAGCAACTTTACCACCACTCACCCTTGAAAATGTTTTTGGAGACTAACTGGAGGGGGAATGGGGTTAACAGTTCAATCAATGATACATTTACTGAAACCATGATTCTTACACAGAATAAGAGAGAGATTCAGCTATTTAATCATTTCCCTTTAAAGGCCCCATGCTCTTCCCTGTTGGATGACTTATGGCCGTAGTCCTCCATCTCCTAGTGCTTTTTCCACGTGGTTACTATGATGGGTGGGTGATGGTACGGGCAGGGAAGAGAGAAGAAGAGAGAGTGGGGATCTTCGATGGATCAAGTGTGCAGTTTGTCTATTTGTGTTCAGCACATAGACAATATTAGGATGTTGGATCCATCTGTTTGGAATATCACCACCATAAATATTACTGGACGTGCCCCTACCACAGTTCATGCTTGACTTAGTTTGTGGTTAAATTATTACTCAGAATTGCATCCAGAAAAGTTCCAAGGATCTCATGGAAAATAGCAATAAAAGAATGAGATTATGCAGGCCATAAATATTTATTTCCTTTTAAGACACAGAATTAATCAGGCAGAGTACTATTTTCTAAGGCAGAATCTTCCACATTCCCTTGTTTATTGCAAGGGAATTTGGGATATCCCATTCATTCTTTCTAGCCCAATAGGAAATTGAAGCAAAGCAGACACAAGATTAGGAACAGGAAAATCTTGGATAAGAATATAAAAACAGTCCTGCAGGATCAGACCAAAGGCTCATCTAGCTGACCAGTTAACTATAGGAAGTCTGAGCCCACATGTAAGGGCGACTTATTTTATATTGTTAATTTATATTATTTTAATTGATTTATGTTGTGAGCCGCCCCAAGGCTTCGGCGAATGGGGCAGCATAGAAATTTTCTAAATAAATGAATAAATGTAAGGGCACAATCACAGTAACAACCACCACATGGAGTGGTTCAAACTGCCATGCAACCTTGAAGTTCACTGAGTGACCTTGGGCCAGACATCATCTTTCAGACTAACCTACCTTGCAAGATTATTGGGAAGGTAAAATGGGATGGGGGAGATGAGGCATGCACACCTGTTTCAAGTGCAAAGTTTGGTCCCAAGACTTCTGTCCAAGCCAGCCAAACAGAAAATGCACACGTGTCGTTGTCATCACCCCCATCCTTCTCCCCATCATCATCATCTGCTTTCAAGCAAGAATATGGCCCTTCTTCCTTGCAGGGCTTCAGGTAAGGTCCATGGGGGTCCATGAAGGAATCCCCAATGTCATTTCCATTAAGGTTCAGAGATGATAGTGAGGATTTGGCTTATGCATTGGTCCTCCATCTAAGCGAGAGGGTGAGTGGCATGTTAAGGGGCACTCTGAGTGTTACCTCCAAACACAGGTTGGAGATAACAAAAAGAATTTGGTCTTGCATGCCACTTGTCATTACAATCGAGCTAACAAGCCATGTACACAGCCAAGGATTTGCTTAGTGCTTAGAGGCGGGGCAGAGGCACGGGGCAAACAGACAGAGGAACAGAACTGTGTCTCACTCTCTTAAAAGTTTGCATTTTTAACAAGGTAAAAATTAAAATATAACCCTATACATGCTGCTTAAACGTATGCATGGAAGTTATTGACAGCTGAATAGTTTTGTTTATTTATGGGTATAAAGTGTATTGCAAAGCCAGGACCCTACTAGTGATAAGGAATTTGGATTGAAGCACATCATTTTTCAAGAAAGAAGTGTGGGAGTGGAGTGGAACTGAGACAGCCCCCGGTGTGCTCAAACCACACTCCCCGTGCAAGTGTCTGTAGCAGTTTGCCTGTGGAGAGAGCCCAGACTTTGCAAGATCTTGTGATCTTTACCAGGGAGAACCAGCAGAGTCAATCACAATTTAAACTTCTTGTATACTTTCTTTCAAAAATAAAGGAAAGACATAACCTCGTCAATATCTATTTTGCAATGGAAAATATCCCTCCATAATTCTCCAGCTTTCTTATTAGAGTGATCTGGATCTGCCAGAGAGCAACACCTGATCGGAATTCATTCTGTAGACATCAGGTCTGCTGAAATCCGCACAGACTCATTCAAAACAGGCAATACAAATGAAGCAGGTACCTTTATGGAATGGTGAAAGGTTACTCCAACCATGTAGATTCAGTTCGTGATGGCTGCCACAGGAAGTGGGCCTTGTCTGAAGTCATTCCAGAGACAACATAATACTGTGGAAACAATATTTTTCAATGGTCTCAGTAAAGAAAGGTGCCATAGATAGATTTATTCAAACCAAGAGTAGTAAAATGTTCCTCCAAACCTTGTCTGGTGGTCCCCAAGACCATAACAGGTGCTGCTGAAAAAGGGGGAAAGTCTTTAGGAACACAGAAGACTCATTCTTAGAACATGGTAATCAGCAGTGTTTGAAGCTTTTGAAGCTTCCGGCTGTCTGCCTAGGATGTTCTAGGGACACTCAGGGGATGAATGTCTGTGGCAGGAGCCTAAAAGGAAATGTTAAAGCTGTGAGCTAGTAGGTGTGTGTATGTCAATGAAAAAAGCAGGCAGAGAAGTGAGTGGACTTAGACAGGAGTGGGAATAGTTTGCGCTTGTGACAGGAGAGCAATTACACCTACGGGGATTCAGCACCAGTTTTCCATCCTGTCTTATGCAGAAGTTTAGTACACCAGGCAAGTACAGCATCAGCAATGTGGTTGTGGTTGGGCATCAATTGTATGTACAAGTGCATGTACGTGTGTGGCCCCACCATCTACCCAGGGTGGCCCTAAAGACCAAAAAAGGGTGTGCACTTCTGGCTTAAATGGTGGGGATTAAAGAAACCTGTCGAACAGTTGGATATATCAGGAAGGGTAAAAATGAGTGTCCTTCCTTCTCTTTCTCTCTCTCTCTCAGGCTTGTGGTGCCACTTTGTTCCTTCTTGCTGGCCCATGGAATAAGACAATGATACACCACAACAGCTTCCTTTTCTGGGGACTGCACACAGTTTGTCTCTTGCTCCTGTCTGCCTCTCACAACTTTGCCATTACTGGATTATTAGGAGGGCTCTTAGTCAAATCTACTGGATGGCTGAACTTCAGAGAGGAAATCCCTTTCCTCTTTTCTGCCTCTTCCTAGTCCCTTTATTTTGTGTCTCTCCTCCCCTCCTTTCAACCACCACCTTTAAAAAACACACACACACACATAGAGGAACCATTGGCTGGACTTTTCCTCTTCCCCACATGTCCTTTTCTTGCCCAGTGTTATCTAGTCCCAATAAACTTGGTTTATCCCATACTGCCCTCAAAGCCCTCCTCCCAAGGTCACCTTCACACATGGAGAGGGAAGCACAGGGGAAAGAAAGCCCTGGCCCAGCATTGCCTCAAGATCTTTTGCTGCTTGAAGAGCAGGGGACCATCCCTCCTGTTCCAGGTGAAAAGCTAGCTGGACTGGCAGCTTCAGCACTGATGCTGGGACAGCATCCTCTGCAGCAAGGGGCCACCTTAAGGGGCACAGAGCAGGTCGCATGGCATCCAACTCTCTCCTCCAGCACCTTGCAGATGCCTCCCAGCATCAGCTACCTGAAGCAACTGCTTTGCTCTGCCCAGTAGTAAGACCAGCTCTGCTTTGCTGCCAGTCATGGGCCAAAGGAACAGGAGCCCCGATTGCTATTCAAGCAGGAATGTCAGAGAGGGAAGATCAGTCTGATCTGAGGTGTGCTTAAATGACCACTTGGCATGCACCATTTTTTTCTGGCCTTGAAAACTGATCTCCCCATCCCCACTCCCCTGCTAAGTCTTCTCATTTTAGTCTGTAAGCCTAAGAGTGGTGCCTGTGTTTCCTTTCAACTGATTTGGGAGACAATAATTACCTGAAAAGTAGGATAAAAATGCAGGAAATAGAGGAAGGAAGGAAGGACATAAAACAAAATAATAAAATGCAATAATAATATCATAAAACCAGAACAGTGTTAAAATTACTTTAAAATTAATTTAAAATAGCTTAAAACATACTGTAAAACAAAAAAAGACCTTGCAAGCAACTGCTACCCCCTTGGTACGTTTAACTGACATATATAGGTGACCTTGTTAAAGGGATTGCGATAGTCAAATAACGATGGCATCTGTTCATAACACGGGAGTGGGTGGCAGTCAGCAGCCACTACGCTGGGATGGAACAGGAGACAAGCCTGAAGGCTTTAGCAGAGGGTGCAAGTGTGGACTGCACGAGCATGGATGCCGCTGACCAGTGCTCCTTCTGGGCACTGCGGGCCACCCAGCAGTTCTGCAAGTTCTGCAAGTACAACATGGGCCCCACAGGCTGCTTGTGGCCCCTTGGCATTTTCCCCGTCTCCTCCCTGACTGCTGCTGCACCACTAAATTTCAGCAGCAGATCCAGCAGTGGGGAATGAGGGCAGCAACGTGCCCTTGTCCCCTAGAAGTTGCCCACCCCATGTGGTTGGTGCCTCCTGGGGTGTCCTGGCACACTGATGGTGAAGAAACGGAACTGCCTTCCACGTGTGGGTTCATCCAGGCAAGCAGGCTGAATTAAGCATGTGTAGGAACAAGGGCAGGAGAGAGGACGGAAGCTTTCCGTATTCCCTGGAAGTGGCAGGTGTCCCTCCCACCAAGTAAAGCCCCTTACTTACATAACATTTCTTAGTTAGCCAGAGGGAAATAGAAACCTGTTCCAGTTCCTGTGGAATGAAAACTACAACAGATGAACCAGTTAATGAACTGGTTGGTGCTGATTCACAGAAGGCACTGACTTCATTAGGTACCAAGAAGAAAATGTGGGTCAGAGCAGACACAGGCTACATCCTGGGTTATCACAGATAGGCATGATTTACTACACTCTGAGTTTCCTCAAGGATATGTACTAATTGCCTTTCAGCACATGCACATGGTTTACTTTTCCACCAGACCAAGTTGTCTAGAAAATCTTGAACATCATTTTCTCCTACAAGTCTGAACAGCATCTCCTACAATGCTCACCAGAAAGGGCATGTGCCCTCCCTCTTCTAGTCTCCAGTCCTTTGCAGTGGCTACTTACTGCTGTATGTCCCACCTTTGGGACTTCTGCTGGGTACAAATGTGCTCCAAGGGTACAAGCTCCATCACACACAGGACCTCTGCTTTGTCCAAGGGCTCTCCCTAGTAGGTGCAAGCCTGCCCATTGAGAGGTGAACCTTTTCTGATGGATATCTCTGCTGCTTCCCCCCTGACCCTACTTCTGTAATCAGCACTCAGCAAAGTTTCCCTTCTCTGCTTTGTCAGTGGGCTGCATGTTCTCACCTTGAGATGAATGGAAATGTTAACTGGAATGTGAGGGGGGAAAAAAAGAAAAAGAAACAACTTGGTGCTTGTCCAAACCTACTCGTGTTTATACTGGAGCCTAGGAGTGACATCAGAGCAGGGAAGAGTATAAACACTTGCAGGACTTTACTTGCAGGCTTTAAAAACTGCAGACACGCTGCTGTCTCCAAACTGCCTGGGGAGGGATGTGCTGAAGTGTCGGAATGAAACACCAGCTTCTCCTGATCTCCTTCTTCTGTCTCCTTTCCAAGGTAAGGAAGCTGGGATATGTTAGTTTAGACAGTGAGGAGCTCTCTCTCTCTCTCTCTCTCTCTCTCTCTCTCTCTCTCTCTCTCTCTCTCTCTTTTGCCTCCACTTATGAAACAATTTATAACCAAGCAACTCCAGTTGGGAAAATACAATAGTTCAAAGTTGTCTTAAAACATTAATGTTTTTAATGTGCATGCTTAAATGTCACATGTATGCAAACCAAGGAGAATGAGCTGTTTTGAATATATTTTAAAAGGCCGACTTTAAAAAATGAAATATATTGTAAAAGGCCAAAATAAACACCCAGAGTAACTCCTTTAGCATCACTGGTCCCATGTTTTAGAGTCTCGTACTTGAATCTTATGCATTAATTGTGCCAGGGTCACAGACATGCACTTAGGTCAACTGAGGATCCCATGTAGTAACCAATTAAACAGTTTCTTCTTCACACTCAGTTCTCTGTGTTACAACCATCCATGGGCAGGAAGCCAGGCAGCTGGCATGGTTTTTTAAGATTGCTCAATTGTTGTCCAAGTTTTGCCTTGAAAAATACAGAGAAGCCCATGTACAGCTGATGCCTCCTGCAGGATTGTGCAGAATGAACAACATAGTTCATTTAAAACAAACACACAGACAACCCAGAAAACAAACACTTGAGAGTTTTCCCAGTGATTTTGGATTGCTGCTGGAATTCCAATGGTTGGACAACAATGTCTGGACAACAGTGCACGCACTGAGATTGGTGCAGTCTGCATTTGTAATACAGAGGCTTGAGGCCTGTGAGCTCAGTTTTGCATGTTACCTACAGATGCAGCAGACTGCAACAAACCAGAGAGAGAGAGAGAGAGAGAGAGAGAGAGAGAGAGAGAGAGAGAGAGAGAGAGAGAGAATCCATTCATACCTGACTAGAACCAAACCCATTCAAATAAATAATCTATCTCTACAATTATAATAAGCTATTTAGGAAAATTTAAATGACTGAATCACTTTATTTCCTTACCAAATTATGGTCGCTAGCCTTGGTCATTTTATCTTATACTGTATAAAACATGTGACCTTCTCTTTACTGTACACCTTGTCCTTACTACACATTTTTTAAAAGGCTTGATCTCTGGAAGAGTGCAATGAATATTTATTTGAGCATTCAAACAAAACTCTTCTGAATGACTCTGAATATGTTTTGATTCCAGATTCTGGAGATAAAAGGTCACCAGTGTAGGAGCTGTTTTGGTAGAACTGCAGAAAACAGTAACATCACATCCATAGCTGTGTGATGATATAGCAATGATATTAATAAATAATTATAATGCACACAATTCAGGATCCAAGGAAGGAACAACACATATGTGCAACTCATCTAGAGCCAATTTTAAGCAGGCAGATTCTTTTGATTTTTGGCACTTGTCAACTCAGTAGCCCAAGTGTGAGTTACCTTGGAAACTAAATCCCTCTTTTACTTCATCTGAACATAAGAAATAGGGCAGGAAGTATCCTCATGCATTGTTTTTCTTTTTTTTAACTCTTGTTTCTCTACTTCTGTTTTAGCTTTAATGAATTCACAGACTCTGCCTTGTACATAATGGCAGGATTTGAGCTTACAGTAGGGTAGCCTTAGCCACTGCCAAGCTTTCTTTTATGCTTGCCTCCCTCTTCTCCCAAATTGCTCAGAACGGTACACAGGGTTCTTCCATCCTTTTATCTTCACAATAACCCTGTAAGTTAGCTGAAGTGGAACAAAGTGATTGGGCCAAGGTTGCATCAGTGGAGAAATTAAAGAAGTGATTTGTATAGGTCTGGACACAAATGTGTGTACTCCTCCAAACCTAAATTGGAGGAAGAAAATCCAAGTGGAGAGGGAGAAAAATCTAAAGTCCATGCTCAGTAGATGCAGACAGCAGAGGAAAATGAAAGGGAAATGATCGTGGGGGGAGTGGAATGGAGAGACTAGAAGCAGGATCAGAAGCACTTTGTGCTGCAACTTCTTTTGCTTTCTGTTTACATGGCCCCACTTTGTCATTTATAATCCAAGTAGCCACAGTGTTGTATCTAGCAAAGAAAGTTCACTGTGTGCTGATCCTTTCCGGTTCCCCTCTCTCCTCTTTCTTTTCTTGCATTTGGAGAAAGCAGTCGCCTGCGCTTCAAAGCCCGGCTAGCGAGCTTTACCTTGTTTTAAGACCAGTCCCTTTGTGGACTCTGAATCAGCAGCTAAGGTTCAGCAGACAATGGCTGAGCCTTGCCATCCAGGGCAATCAACACCTCCTTGGAGGGCTGGCAGTAGTCTCCAGTGGTCCATCCACGTCGTGGTGCAGATGGGCTCAGTCACACTGCCTCCCTGTGCCACATGCATTGGCACCTGCCGAACAGCCTCCTCCTCCTCTTCACCGTGGTGGCACTGGCAGTGCTTCCTCTTGGACTAGCCAGCCCCCCTGGGGAAGCGAAGCCTTTGGCAGCCAGCTGGGCCTGTGCCTCTCCTTTCCAGTGCAAAACATTTTCTCCTGACATCTTGAGAGGCAGCAACCTCAACCAATCCGATTCCATATTTGATGGGGATGTCTAATGAGAGTACAACAGGCCGCCCATCCATTGCTTAGATGTCCTCAGGGGCCATGTCTAATTGGTTCAAGTGGTTTTTGCTCAACAACACAGGGGAGGAAAAGTTTTGCTTTGAAAAGGAGCAATGGAGGCCCTGCATGCTTGCCCAGCTGGCTGCCACGGGGCTTCCTCTTGCCAGTAGAGCTGGCCGAGCTAGGAGAAGGAAGAGGAGCTGTGATGGGGCAGTGCCAGGCCAAGCCCTTTTGATCCTTTGCAGCCTGGACAACTGCCTGGCGGTAGTGACCCCTAATGCTGAGCCTGTCTCCTTCTGCATTATGTCAATTTGGGATGCACTTTCTCAGAGGGATTTAAGTAGCAGAAAGTATTTATTCAGCTCTTTTTGCTTCTCACTGCACTGAGCGTAAGTTAAAAGTAGAAATGCATTGCTTTTTCCAGATTATGCCAGTGGACTAACAATTGGAGATCTGTTGGATGCTGCAGTTGCAGAGCAGCCAAGAAGCAACGTTCTCAGACAAAAACTTCTACATATGCTCATTCCACTTAATGTTTGTCCAATTGTTCAGTGATATTCGAGCATCACGAGTTGATAATGAAAAGACAATAAAGCTGATATATAAGCCAGATAGGGCAGAAATTGAAGCTGAACTTCTCTTTGCTTCTGCAGTTCTACCGATATGCTTATGAGAAAAAGTCCAAATCCACTGAAATATTGCATGGCCTTGATTGGCCTTTTAAAGAATTTAACCATGTGTGAGACCAGTTCCGGCAGTGTAGGGTAAATTCTGAGGCTCTAGCACCCATTATGAGAGTCACCATAGCCACATCCCAGAAGAAGCCAAAATGCAGGTACTTGGGTGGATCCATATCAACAAGCCAGTTCTTGCCATTTTCCTCCCCACCAAGAGCAGGTCTTTTACAATGTTCTTGGGTCTGGATTGTTCATTCAAGACCAGGTCATTCTGAACTAAGCCACTGAAGAAGCTGCTATTGCCAGATCTACTCTTAGATCTTAATCTGGAGACTTACTTTGCTTCTGAGCTCAACTTATTCCTTTGGGAGTTGGGGGACTTAAATGGGGGGATTTCCTGGTGGATTGTGCCTTACAGGTGCACCGAAAAAGTGGGTTCAGCCAAGCATTATAACATGCTGCCGTTCTCTCCTTCTTTCTGCAGCTGTACGCTCAGCGTTGCCAAACTCCATGCTATTGCCCCTGGATCCCTCCACATTGCCCTCCAGGCTCCTCCTTAGTTCTGGACGGATGTGGCTGCTGCACCGTATGTGCCCGCAGGCTAGGAGAGCCCTGCAACTATCTTCATGTGTGTGATCAGAACCAGGGGCTCACCTGTGACTACAGTATCACCCCTGCGAGGAGAGGAGGAATCTGCACTTGTGAGCCAACACTTGCCCCTGTTTTCAGCAATCCCTCACGCATGCGGGGGGAAGCCAGCTTTCTTGATCCAGATAAAGCCTTAGGAGAGAAAGGCTGGGAAAAAGGCTGGGAAAACTGCTTGGCTGAGCCCCCATGGTTCATGCCTTACTACAAAGCATCAGTTTGATCCATGGATCAGGGCCAGAGGGGGCCTGAACTTTAAGTTTTTCATAGCAACCAGAGGAGGGGCTGGTGGGAAGACCCAGTTGGACTGGGACTGCAACACTGGGAGGGGGTGTCTGTGTGTGCATGTAACCTTTGCTCCCAGCATTGTTTCCCCTATTTCATTACTTGTTTGTTTAATACTGCCAAACAATTAAATAAAACGATGCTTGAGGCAGCTAGCAATAAAATCCAGCTTGAAAGCAAAGGCTTAATTAAAACATAACATAAAAGCAAATAAATTAAAAACACAACAATAAAACAACAACAACAACAGGACTTAAAACCCCCTCGAGCAACAAATAAGTTTACATGCCAAAGCCCTGTCTGAATAAAAACATCTTTGCTTGATAAAGGAATAAATTGAGTAAGGATTTGCTACTCTTCTATGACATAATGTGCTCCTTTGCTCTACCTATTGGTTGGCCAACCCTCATGAGTGAATGTGTGTGCGCAAAACACAGCATACATGGAGGAATGTGCTTGATTCACAGAGAAGCTCATTATAGTCTTTGTAACTAGGCTCTTGCTGTGAACCTTAAACTCTTTAGCAAGGATAAAACCTGCTGGCTACCATTCATACCTATGGCAAAAAGAAAAATACTCCCCTTGCCCCTATCTTGGAATGGTGAGAAAACCTGATCCTTCTCTAACAGAAGGCGGATCTGGCCTCTGCATGGGAGCTACTCTACAATGGGGTGGAATATGTCTCGCCATGTGCATTTCATTGGTATCTTCCTAAGAAGCATCTCTGATGAAGTTCCAGATCACAAGGTGGAAATGGTGTCCACCTCCTTCTCCTGAACTGCTTTTCCTATTTGGGGCTGCATGGCAGAGGTACTGTCCAAAAGCAAAGAGGGAGGGGAAATAATAGATCAGCTTTCTCCAATGTGAGACCTTCCGAAGGGTACCTAGCCCCAGCCAACACGGTCAAAGGTCAGGGACAATGGAGATATAGTCCAAATAGGGTGGCTAGGGCAGGCCTCTCTTTTGGAAATCTTGCAGAGGACAGTCTTCTGTTTGATGGGCTGTCCAGGTCAGGCCTAGTTCAAGTTAAAAGAGCCACAAGGAAGGGCAGCAGTAGCATTAGAGGTCCATCAACAGTCAGTGCCTGGGCAGCAGTCCAAGCAGTCACACCTACCAACTGGTCAGAATCCCCCACTGAAGTGGAATGCTTATTTCTATTTGAATTATAAATATTATTCTAAATTTGCACTCAGACATATAAATGTGCATATGCAAAAATATACAAATTCATGCAATGTTTTGATGAATAATTTCCTCTCTTCAGAGTGGATGTTTAAGTGGTTGCCCTAATCCCACACTATCAGGAGAGAACCATTGATAATTGGAAAGGCTGTAGCTGATCACTGGGGAAAAATCCTAGAAGAGCTCCATCTCTAGGCACAACAATAAAGAAAAAGTCTCAGAACCTGCAGAGTTCAGGGCCACTGTGCGGCACTGAACAATTGCTGTGCCAAAGCCTTGCCCGCCCTTTTGCAACCTCTTTTTTCCCTTGGAAAGAGGCAGCTGCTTCCCAGGGTTCAGGACTTCTGTGCTTGCATTACCGTAAGGAGGTGGCTGGTGTGCACACGCTTACTTTTAGCATTTCCCTCTTGTTCTGTCCTTGCAGCATCCCCTGCAGTTTGACCTTGGAAAGCCTCCTGGAAGACTTAGCCAGGACTTCCTCCCACAGGGCTTCCCTGGACTACTGCCTGCTGAGGGCCCGAAAACTGAGATACAGGCATTTTTGGTTTTGCCTCATTGTCAAAATGAATGGTCAAAAATAAATAGCTTGAAAATTTGACACAGTGCTATGGCAAACAGACCACACTTTCCCCATTGTTTCCTTCCTTTGGGGCACACTTGAGCGTCACATGGTCCTCTGTAGCGACACTGTTTATTTCAGACTCTCCCACCATTTGGTGGGAATCTCACTAGACAGGGATTATGCCAGCAGAGATATATCCATCAAAGATTGTCCAGGACGTAGGTACGCCACGTGAGCCCAGTTTGACGTCACAATTGCATCTTCTCTATTCTTTCTCTGGAACTCTCATGGCAGCTAGAAGGAATGCAAACAAAACTCAGCAGATTTTCTGTCCTACTTGGAGAGTTCAAGTCAGCTGACAGGGATGTGAGCTAAACAAACATCAGCTCCTCACAAAATAACAAGACTTAAATAGGAACAAGATCACTCTTCCCCTCCTTAGAAGCCTCTTGGAAAAGCACAGCAGGACTGTGGTCACCTCTTAAAAATTTACAGTACTGCAAATGGAGGAGTCTTCAGCTTGGCTTGGGTAAGAAATAATACAGGGAGACAGAATGCTGCGTGTTGTCAGATGAAACACCCCGTAGCCTAGTGCGGTCAACTCCAGCCTCCTCCAACCTGGTGCCCTTCAAGTGTCTTGGCTCACAATTCCCAGCTGAGCTGGCTGGGGATGCCGCGAGCTGTGCTCCAACATATCTGGAAGCACCAGTTGTTTTCATTTATTTCTTTGCGGAGGCTGGCTGAGGTTGGAGAAGGCTGGTCTGCTCAGCAGCCCTCCAAGGCTTCAGGCATGGCTCTTTCACATAGCAAGAGAAAAGAGGGACAGAAGCTGGAACATTTCACATGGAAAGCCTCTGCTCTCCTTCTGAGCGACAGTTCCTCGCTGGCAAGGAAGAAAAATGCATTAGATACTCCACATTTCTTCAAACAACAAGCCGGCATTTCAAACACATGACTAAACAACATGAAGCAAGAGTTGGAAGGATTTAACACTCTTTGTATTCTTTACATGTGAATACAAGGTGTGTTCAAATGGATACAGTGCGTAGCCGCTGGAACAATAAAAGGGGTGGATTTTGCTTTGATTTAACTCCTCAAAATCTCTCCATTTCTGAGCATCCTCACTGAGGATTGGGATTGTTTCAATCAAAAGGTATTGTGCCTCTCTTTCATTTCCCCCTCTTTACCAGATTTTCTGTGGCACAAAAAATATGAAGTAGTAAGAAAGCACAGGAAGGTTACAAATGGAAGACAAAGATGTTCTGGATCCCCCCCCACCATAAAGTTGAGTTGAACAAGGCAGCACCACAGAAGAGTGGAAGCCGTGTCTGGAAGCGCCCTGTGGCATAGTGCAGAAGTCGGATGGAAGCCCAAACGCAGTCTCTGTTTTAACTGGTTAGAATAAGGATGAGGAACAAACTGTCTGCAAGCCAGCCCAGGCTCGCAAAGCATTTCTGCCAGGCCTGTGGCCTTCCCTCTCTTCTCAGGCTTCCTTCTCCTCAGTTCCAGCCCTTCTCCTGTGCCCCACTGCCATTTCCTCTTCTCTTGCAGCAATCAGCACTGCCAGGGGACTCTCAGCAGCTCTGGTCTCCTATCCACCTCCTCCTCTGCCTCTCTCCCCTTTCAGATAAGCTCCCCTTGCCAAAAGGTGGCCCCTGCCAGATTAGCCTGGAGGGAAGGCCAGCAGAAGAGTTGTTCCTCACCCCCCCAGCCCAGTGGTGCAGAAGCTTCCCACTGCTTCTTTCAAGAGTTGTGTCTGCGTGAGAATCTCTCCCACAGCATTGCTTTGCTTCCCTTTCAGAACAATGCTGCTACAATGACCAAATGCACACTGTTAGGATCACTTTGCCTTCAGGAGCAAAAGGCTGAGTTTTCAAATGCCTATCTTGCTCTTTTTAGGATGCATCCTCAAAGGGACTGTTTCTGAGCCCAGCATTTGGGATTTCTTTTTAATGGAGAAAGACGTTTTCCTAAAAACTTGGTCCAAAATCTGATCTCAGTTCAAAATATGGGGCTGCCCCCATATTATTCCCCCGTTAATACTAGGTGGTCTCCCTGTCGCAGACCTTGTGCCTAAATTCCGTTTGTCTCTGGTTACCCTGACTGTTGGCTGCAGATGAGGAGGGAGACGATGACAACTGCGAAGTGAATGGGAAAATCTATCGGGATGGAGAAGTGTTCCAGCCCAGCTGTAAGCTTCAGTGCCGCTGCTCAGGAGGTGGCTTCACATGCATCCCCCTCTGCAAGGAGGACGTTCGCCTGCCCACTCCAGACTGTCCCTATCCAAAGCGTGTGGAGATCTCAGGAAAGTGCTGTCCAGAATGGATTTGTGAAAGTCAAGAGAGACAGAATTTGCCGGATGCAATGGCAGGTAACAATTTTCACAGGCCTCTGCCCATATTTGCCTGTGATATTACTATTAAATCAGCCTTGTATTGAAGTACCAATCTGGCAGCCACAGGTGAGAAAGAATTACAGGTTGACAATCACCTGGAATTTCATGCAAGTGAACAGGTGTGGGGAGGAGGAGGGGCAAAGCAATCTATTCCTTTTCTTCACCCAATACAGAAAAAAATGCAGGAAGCTGTTGTAGGAAGGACAAAGCTCCCTATCCGTCTTCTAGATGGGCTGGTGGCCACTTTTCTGGGCTAATTTATAGGACTGGCCTAAACGCAGGTGAAACACAAAATAAGCATTCACAGGGATGGGCTGTCATGCACAGTCAAAATGTGGCAACCGTTCAGAATTCTGATTCAATGGTGTTTCTGAGATGTGAGAAAGTTGTCAGGAAAAGCAAAGTTTTACACCTTGCACATGAATGCAATGGCCACATTGTTGAGCCTAATGAACTCACTCCATGCCTTGGTTGGATACATACTTAGAGCTCAATCCTATGTAGGTTTAGACAGAAAAAAGGTGTGACATGCACGGGGGAGTTGTGGGCCTTTTTTGTTTTGCATCATTACTCATAGTTAGAGTCAACCCACTGAATCTAACAGGACTTAAATAGTGATGATTGGGAAGGTTGAAAACAAGATTGGAAGCTTAGCTTGAGAATCCTCCCCCTCCGCAATTAATTTGCTATAGCATAGTCATCTCCAGCATTGACAGTGCAGTCTTAGAAAAAAGTCCCACTCTGATCAGTGGCATATTCCCAGGAATGTGCAGGTAGCATTGCAGGTACATGGTTATATATACAGATATGCATGCTGTATACTTGTCTGTACAGCAAATGGCTTCTCATATATGACTTTATAGCTGGGAATAGAAATTTCAGTGCAAAATATGTGCACAGACCATCAGCTGTAGAGCATCCATGTATGTAGCCTCACACCATCACAAACAGCCTGACCAAAGACAATGAACAGCATAGGAATTTCATGAATCCTCCCACCCCAAAATAAGACAAAACCAAATCCCACCCAACCCTCAAAAGTACAAGAATTAAAGGTGAATTGCCTGTTGCAGTCTGGAGTGGATGCTTCGAGAAGGAGAAAGGACCATTTCTCTTACTCCTCGCTGGCCATACTTCGACTCAAAATTGTCTTCACCTCCCCACCTGCTGGCAAGGGTTTGTACTACAAAAGGTTTGCAAAATCCTAAGTTTGCAGGAAACCTCGTATTGCTAGCCCATCAACAATGCTAGCAGTAGTGCCTTGTGGGAATCTCCCCTAACATGGCTACCCACCTGGAAGTTATTCTAGCATTTATGTGAGCTTGCTTGCATGTTTTGAAAGCCTCCATCTTCCTTATTTCTATCCTTGCTCAGCGCAAAGGCTGCCCGCAATCACATCAGTCGCTGCTCCCTATCCATGTGACGAATGGAGCACTGCGTGGTCAGCCTGCTCTTCCAGCTGTGGCATCGGCATTTCCACACGAGTGTCTAACCAGAATCCATACTGCAGGCTTGAAACTCAGAGGCGTTTCTGCATCCTTGGACCCTGCCAGGGTCTCATGGGAAGGACTAGCATGGTAAGTGAGTGAGTGAGTGAGTGAGTGAGAGAGAGAGAGAGAGAGAGAGAGAGAGAGAGAGAGAGAGAGAGAGAAACAAAAGCTCTACCTTTGGGTGTGAAGTTGCTATAGAAAGAAGACGACTGGTTGCTTCACCTCAAAATGTGACTGCCCTGCGTGAGGTGACCAACTTAGCAACTGGAGCAGTGAAGAGAGATTTGCTGAGAAGGGAAAAAAGCAATGTAGATGAAGGACAAGGAGGATGAGCATGACAAAGGGTCCGGGCAACAAGCGAAGGATTGCCAAGTGGGAGTTGGTAAGGATGGGGCAGGAGGCCCAAAAGATTGTGGAGAACCTGCAAAGGTATGGTGTGTGGTTGAAAGTAGGAAACACATCCCCAGAACAGAAGACAAAAGGGGGTCAAATATGCATATAATTTGCGTATACTAAATTCAAATGAAGAAATAATCATAATTTAAATCAAAATACAGTATCTCATCAGGCTGGGGAAGACTGTGAGCCCGGGACTGCTTGCTTGACTGCCCAGGTGCTAACAGTGGATGGGCAGCTTCAGCTGCAACTGGACCAGAACGATGCTTTGATGTCCCTCTGTAAAGAAGGACACGTGGTTCACCTGAGCTGGAAGGCTGAAGCTCAGGGAGGGACAGAATGGAGAAGGGGCTGTATGCAGGTGATGAATCTCAACAGGGCACCATTTTGTAGGAAGTGCATGTTTGTGAAGCAGACCCTGATGCATGTTGATAACAGCTGAGGCTGTTAACCTGCTGTACCTGCTCTTTCTTCCATTGCAGAATTGAGCAGTTCACAGAGAGTGTGAGAGTTGCAGAACAGGTGCTTCTGTTCCTGATTTCCTGCAACATAAGCTCTAGATGGCACTGACTTCTTGCAGAATAGCTCAAATGCATGTGGAAGAGGCATTTTCTTCCACTTTTCATATTTATACTGCAATTTCCCTGCTCTAAGAGGTCACAACATGAAGAACCTGTAAACAATTCAGTAGAAAAACTTTAAGCCTCCATCCCGAGGCTCACGCGAAGGGGACGGCATACAAAAACTCCAAATAAATAATAAATGAATAAGGATCAGCCCTGGGTCAATTTTGTCCCTCGATCCCTCCATAATGGGCTAATGCTGCTCACCCTGCATTGTTATGATATAAGGAATGGGAAGCCCCCCCCCCCAAAAAAAAAAAAAATCTGGGAGGGGCAAGGAGGCAAAGTGCATCTCTGAGTGGTGGTAAGCTTTGATCCTTGGAAGACACCTCTGGTTCCTTGCAAGCAAGATATAAATGTAATGTCATCTGACTGCTGATGATGGAAGATTCTGAAAGAGCAACAACAATGGTATATTTCACATTAATGCTCCTGTTTTCTTTGAGGGTTCTATTGATGTAACTTTCATGGAAGCATTCTTAGGAATGCAGCCTTGTATTTCATTTCCACTTTATTGGGAGTAGGGGGTGGGGGTAATCTGAGTATGGGGACCTCTTTCAGCCAGAAAGCTGGGATCAAAGGCAACGGGGGATACCACCAAAGGCCTTCAAAGGTGGCTTAACGTTCTTACTGGCAGTAACCAAGTGTTAGGAAAGGCATTTCAACCTTGTAAAAGACAGTGGGGAGCAAGGATGCACAAATACTGGGCAACTGTCAAATTGCTGGTGGCTGGGGAAAAGGTGTTGGAGAGAAGGTGAGGGGACAGAGCTGGGTATGGGCCCCCAAACCTGAGGTTTCTCAACCCAGGACAGTCAAACACAGTACAGCTCTTTTTGCTGACCATGCAGGGAAGTGGGAAACATTTGAATCTCTTCTTTCATGGCTCCCCACATGTTTAGGACAGCCTCAGTTGCTTCCACACCCCACTTCACTGTGTGGCAGAGCACCTTGAGAAACACATTCTCTTTAAGTCAGGTGTAAAATTTTCCAGCAAAATCAATACTTGCAATTTGACTGCCAAGATCTGGAAGCAGCTGATTCCCAAAATAGCAACAGACCCTACATAAACCAAAACATAGCAGCATGATTTATTGACACAGCTTGAGCTAAATAAGACACCTGGATTTAAACTGGCCTGTTTTTGTCAGTGAGGAGTGGGCTTCTTGGCCAAGCAGCTTGGGCTTCACCACATGCTTTCTAGTTTCCCTGTAGAAAATTAGGATAAACAATGAAGGACTGTAAGATGGCTTTGCAACCCGAGATGTGGCACTTGATGGGGTACTTTCTGGGAGGTGTGTTCTTCAAGGACTGAAGTCCAAGCAAGATTTTCCTTGCACAGAAAAAGCAGAAGACAATGAGATGAGGGAGCTCTGATTCACTTTACTAAATGGGCGTGGTAAGTAGGTGGGTTGAATAGATCTGGGAGCAACAGGAGGCAACAAGAAGAAATAAAGTTCAGGCCATGGATCATTGTTTTCCTTGAAGAGTTGTCTCAGGAAATGGTAGAACACAGAATTTCCAGAAGTCCAACCTATGTGTAAGCTGCTTTGGGCATTTTTTGTCCCTGTGAAGGAGGTATGATGGTGCTCATGGTCAAATCCAGGTGGCAAAATTTGGTTTTCCAGAGTTTCCTAGCAGGCCCTGACCCTTCCCTTGGCCCCACCTCTTCTCCAGCCCCCAGTCAATGGCGCTTTTCTGAGTTTTTTCCATATTTCCTGCTGTGAGTTAGGGTGGGCTGAGCATTTGTGGCTGGCCCAAAGTCACCCAATGAGCTTCATGACCACGATGGAACTAGAGCCCAGATCTTCCAGGTCCTCAGTCCAACACCCTAACCACCACCCCACCCCACCCCACCCCACCCCACACTGGCTGTTAATACACAGAAGACACATGGGACAAACTGGGCTCTCAGGGGGCCATGGGGTCGGGGAGGCACATGAAATTATCAGAGCCCTGCAGGTGGGACTCTGAGGGTCCTCTGCCCTGTCCCACTCATGGCCAGCATGGAAAGACCTGTGCTGTCTGTGTTCCTGAGGTCACACCTGGAGCTCAGGGAAGACAAAAATAGGTATGCCACAGGTTGGGAGGGAAGGAGGCTGGGGCCTTGATAAGAACTGGTACTAAATCTGGATGTCCAAAAGCAGCCAGATACCTGGTGCGAAGCATGGCTTGTTGCCATCGCTGTGCCATGCACTGGATGCACTGGGTGCACTTGGCATGATCCTCTAAGTGTGGAGGCTTGCGCTCATCTGATTTGGAGGGCACTGGATTGCACTCTTCAACCTGGTACCCACCAGATGCTTTGGACTGCAACTCCCAGCACTCCTGATCACTGGCTATGTAGGCCAGGACTAATGGAATCTGAAGTCTAAAATGTTGGGGGCTTCCTTGCTCTTCTGAAAGTTCTAAGCACCAGTTGCAAGGAAGAAATGCTGCAAAGATAATGGGCAAACACAGGAGAAACAAATGATTTCCATTTCTTTTTCTTTTAGTGAGAAACTCCCTTTTTGAATGGAGGGTCAGTGGTGGTGCAAGCCTGCTTAACCCCTTCCTGTCCTGCCATTTGTCTTGTCAAAATCACCCAGCCTTCCCTTGGGGATCTTGTTATTTTTAGGCTGTTGGGAGAAAAGCAGGGTTGGAAAGGCGGTATTAAGAAGACACAACAGCAGGAGGTGGAATAAGGGCTAAGTTCTGCTCATCCCACTGGCCTCCAATGGCTGCTTTTCAGTTAAAAAGAAACTGGGAGATGAATATTCTCCCACGGTTCACCCCACAGGCCTCTCATTCAGCTGCACTTTTTCAGAGGATGTTGGAAACAAATTACACTTTTCTATCTTTACAGAGAAGAAGAGGAAGCCGCCTGTAAACTGGATCACTCCATTCAGAAGTTGATATCCTGGCTTTAACCCAGCAATTAGATCATGACAAGCCCAAGCTGCTCCCATCTCTGCCGCGAGGAAAGAACCACAAAGAAACGGAAAGCAGAACTGACCGGCTTCAGCTGGGAGAGAAAAAAAACGAAAGAGCAACTTCTCAGTGCAGCTGAAGTCTGTCTTCCTCCTTGATTCCACTGCAATTATGTTAGACAATGTTATTGCTCTGTGAGAAAAAAAACAGACCATTTGTTTTCATAACATACTATACTGATGAGTTTATTGCCAGCTTGTGGTGACTATTATAAATCCATCCATTGGGGGAATGATGCTTTGCAGCTACAGTAATTCAGGGAACTGTGCCCTGCTCTTTTATCTGCATTATCTCTTCACTGAAGAATAATTCTGGGGACCTGCAGATGAGGCAGTCATACATTGCTCAAAGTAGGATGTTGTTATGGCTAGAAATAAATAAATGCAACCATGGACTGCCTCAGGATGGATTGACCAAGGTTAGTTCAGGGGATCCACAGTAAAGGTCATATGCTTATCCCTGTGGCATTCAAAAATATAAGAAATAGTCTCTTCAGAACAAAACTTTCTCAAAGCAGATGCAACATGCCAAAGATGTAATGAGGTCCATCTGTAGTCAGTTACTAGTCTGTCATAACATTCAAGGAATCCTTCTGGTTGGACTGAGAGTTTGTGACTGGCCCAAACCAGAATCCCCTGGTTCTGTTTGCTAGGAGGCAATGATTAGTGGCTGAAAATTCAAGAACCTCAAAAACATGGATGGGAAACTTCCAATGCGCAAGACAAATGGAATTTGCTGTGACTCCACAGAGGACCTTACCCAAAGCCTTGACCCCTTTAGAAAAGAGGTGGGGGTGGGGGGGACTCATAGCTGAGCTTAAGTAGAGTTGCCAGAAAGCATGGATCAGTCAGGTTTGCTTCCCCTGCACCCCTCCTTGAGGGTGTGTGTGTGTGTGTGTGTGTGTGTGTGTGTGTGTGAGAGAGAGAGAGAGAGAGAGAGAGAGAGAGAGGGAGGGAGGGAGGGAGAGAGAGAGAGAATGGGTTCTACTTGTGGTTGGTTCCAGACAACATACCAGGGCCACAACATGAACCCGCTTGGAGCAGTGTGAGAATCCTTCAATCCATACACTGCTAGCCTGTTCTCACCGATGTTTTTGAATGGCGTCAGCTTGGCCATTGAGCCCAAAAAGGCTCCCCATGCTTGCTCTGGAGGCACATCTGTGCAAAAGTTCCCTGATACAGAAGGAAGATGCACACCTGTGTCAGAATTCATCAGAACACTGGTGGGCAGTCCTCCTGGAGCAGAGGAAGAGGCTTATATTGAGGGAGACCATTGATCCCACTAGCTCTGTCTTGCATACTGGTCACCTTGAGCCTGACTGGAGATGCTGGACTGGACCTGGGGCTTCTACATGCAAAGAATGTGCTCTGCCCCACAGTACACCACTTCCTGAAAAACCCATGCTGAATAGTCCCCCACTTTTTATTTATACTAACCTGTTCTACTTTATTCCGGACTTGAGTTATAAAAGGCCAAAATAATTCCTGTTTGCCTAGCAATAAATTTACATTGCAAAGTTCTCCATGTATTCATTGGCCTACTTCCAGGCACCTGTGAACACACAGCAACTGTACACAGCTCCACATGTCTCATTAGCTTGCTTCTTTCAGAATCACAAGCCTTGCAATGGGATGTTGAACCCCTTTCAGCTGGAAAGTCAACATCAATTTCAGATCAAATTTTTTGGTGAGCAGGCTGAAGGCAAAGAGAATGGGGCCAAAAATACCTGCATATTTTAGCTTAAAGCTTGTACAGCCAGTAACAAAACCTTGGGAGAGCCTTTTCAAATCTTTAAAAATGGGGAGCATTTATGTTAAACCTGGAAACCACTGACAGATTGGTGATCGAGGAAAAGTCAGAGGAAGTCAGATGGGGACACAGGAAGATGACATGGTCATCTGGAGAACCAAGGTGGCCTGAAGTTCAACACCTGATGCGAAAAACAGTCTCCATCCCACTGCCAACTACTTCCAGGATTGTGGCACGGAGGCACTTCCCGTGATTAAGCGCAAGCAGTGAGCCAGCATGCAAACAATAGAAGTAGGGCAATGCTGAATGATTATCCATTTTGCTTTCCAAAATAATACTTGCAAGGAAATAGAAGAATTTCCTGGGGAGAAAACGAAGCTAGTTCTGTGAATGTTCACTGCATCTCTTCTGCATCAGGCCATAGTTTCCACTCTCTGCTGATGCTTTGGTGCCATTTTCGTTTGCATTATTGTGTGCTCTTTCTTACTCACACAGGCTATCCCACCCAATCGGGGATCATGTTGTAAACAGGATGATGTTTGATTGTGTCTGTATGATAACATCATTGAGCGACATGGGCAATCCCAGCCAATTAGGGAACAAGTTGCAAATACGAGAACATCATGAATCACTGCATAGCTGGCCAGGAGAAAATCCAGGGAGATTAGGATCACTCTGAAAAGGCCAATATTCTTGGCCCTTTAACCACAATCACCATCAAATTTCCAAAGGTATAAGCTGTTTTCGAAACTACTGAAACTGTTCATGAAAAATCTTTTGGGCTTTGTGGAGAGTTATATATGACTACTATAATGGGTGGAGTAAAATTTAAAGTCAAGCCTAAGCTTTCCCTAGAAGCAAAAATAACAAACCTGAAGCTGTCATACGTTGAGGACTTCATGAGAAGTGAAGACTTGCTGGAGAAAACAATCATGCTAGGAAAAGTCAAAGGCAGAAGAAGGAGAAGACCAACTGTGAGCTGAACAGACCCCTTAAAGGAAGCCACAGCCTTGAAGAGCTGAGCAGGGCTTTCATGGATAGGGGTTTTTGGAAGGCCTATTCATTCATAGGGTTGCCATAAGTTGGAGACAACCTCATAGCTCATAGCAACAACAAAAGTTTAAAGGACATGACATAAAACTTAAGCAATCCAATTTGACATAGTAATCTAGGGACTGTTACTTTCATGAAGATTCTGCATAATTTGTTTAATTGAGCCTTCAATAAGCCAATGTGATGTAGTGGTTAAGAGTGCTAGGCAGGGGCTTGGGAGATCCTGGTTTTGGTCCCCTCTCAGCCATTTGGATCTGCTTCGCCTTTGTGCCACCATCTTGCTGTTTGCCCTGGCCGGTTCCCATCAGCCAGCTCAAATTTCTTAGCTCTGGCCTGAAGCTGTTGGATGCCCCCTTCAGGCCAGAACTTCAAGACACAACTTTGCCCTGGCTTAGAAGTGACTGTTTCTTACTCACGACAGCACTGTTGTACCAGGCAAATAAATTTTGAAATAATTGGACTAAAACTATCAGGAACATTTTTGGTCTGACTCCCAGGAGAAGAGACTTAGTACTGAAGGTTTCAGTGCCTTTGTGTCTATGGAAAAGTCAATTATTTTTGTGCTGGCCCCAGAGAATAAGACAACAATTATCCTGCTATATCCAGCTGGTACCAAAAATAAATGGAACGTGTTCAAGCTGTCACTGAAACAAGTGGCTTCTTTGTCTCCCGGTGCTGGTGACAGATCCTACTTTGAAAAGTCAGCTTTCTCCAAATAGCAAAGACGCACCTGCGCATTACACTGTGCCTTCGTGTTCTAAGCAGAGATGCTGTAAAATACATCTAGGTACCCTTCCCAACACACACACACACACACACACACACACACACAAACTCCCACTGCACACACACAAAAGTACTGGGCACGCTAGATATTATCCAAGCTCAGATTGTTTATAGCCTGAAGACAAAAAAGGAAATCCAAAAGAAAAACAAAACAGCAGAGCTGAAAAGCAACATTAAAAAAAAAGCAGGCTATGGAGATTATTCAGAAGCGTTATTGAAGGGACTGAAACTTTCTTTAAGCTTGGCTCAAGAATGAAGTGTAAATGCCCTCTAATGGCCTTAATCAGGATCTGCAGACAGAAACTTCAAAACTGTGCCTGGGCATTTGAACCTCAGCAAAACCTACACAATATATGCTTTAATAAAACCACGTCCGATTACTCATTATTTGTGCATCTGAAAGTGGAAACATGCTTCTTCTCAGTGCATTTCCTTTCTCTACAAATGCCGGTTCTCAGCATTTTGTCCCCCTCTAGTATGAGTCAGAGACAGCACGCAGGGGCTAGCGGGAACAGGTGCAGCAACGCAGAAGATGACGGTTGGAAAGCCCTGTAATCATCAGCAGGACTCACCCCCGCCCTTTTGTTTCTTGTAACTTCATGATTTCACCTTTCATGTTTATGTGCGTCTACTCTGTTCACAGAATAGGGGTTTGTATTAACATCAGAAAGGTGCACAGATGAATGAAACAGTTCCCACACATTATTTATCCACATGCAGAGCTTGTCCACACAATTGGCTTTTAATTGGCAGTATATAATTCTTGTTTCATTGCAGAATCAAGATCCAAGAACTACACAAATTGAGATCTGAGCACTTTCCCTTCTGTCTTTTCTAAGGGCTTTTGTTAATTCAATGGTCTAGAAAAGTCATAAGTTAGTAAGTAAATAAACCTAACCTCTAGCTGATATTGTCATGTAGTGGTTTAACACACATATAAGAGGGAATTGTGCTTCCTTTTGCTTTCATGAATAAATCCTTCCTGCTGTATGTAAATCTTGCAGAAAACTCTTGTTACAGAAGCCAAACTGAAGAGTTGTGTCATCATTTAAAGAACGTGCAAACAATGACAAGTAGGGAAAGATGAGCTCAGAATGAGTAAAAGCCCTCAATCATGTCACCTACTTTTGTTCCAGCCTAGCTGGGATGCAACAAGGGAAGAGAGATTGTCATCATCCCTAAACTATCAGGAACACAGAAGCAGGTGTAAAAGCATGGAATGGCGAGAGTAGAAAAGAAATGGCCCACTTATAGATTATAACGATGAAACTGCTTGCTGTGATTTTTTTAAAAAATATATGCTCTGAAAATGTGGAGTTTTGCATTTGAAACTTGCTTAAATCATTACACCCCTGTGCTTACAGAATAAGGACTTTCAGCCTGCTGCCTTGGATGCCCATGCCACCTGTCATTCCCTGGTCAGTCATCAGGGGAGGTGGGCCTGGGTCTTGGATGTGAGGGCCAACCCTCCTGGGGCCATGCTTCCAAAATCTGTTTGGCCGGTCACTGTGGAGGACAGGATAGGAGGAGCCAGCCGAGGGCTCTTCCCATAGGTTCCCATATCCAACGCTGAAATGAAAGTGGGAGGAATATGCCTGGATCCATGGAGCATGCGGGAAGGTTAAACACTCCTCTTGAACCCATTTTGATATTAATGCCATACATACACCTCATCCCAGCTTTATGTGTGAATGGAGCAGACACCTGAACAAAATATAATGGCTTTGGCCTTCATTTGTTCTTCCCAGTGATAAAGCAGTATGTTCTCTGGCCCACAGAAACAGACTCAAGAAGGGACTCTATA